AAACAGCCACTCACTGTCGCTTACTCACCTTCTCTCACTATCTCAGACATACTCGATCACACTTTCAACGATCACTCTTTCAAACAGTCACCCTATTTCTCATTCGCTATCATTTACTCACTCAATTTATTACTCTCTCATTCTCATTTACTCGTTCACAAAGTGATTCTCTATCTCTCGTTAATCGTAAGACATAAATTTGCGAGATTTTTTTAAATAAAATGATATTAATATACTTTTGTAAACGTTCTTCTTTTTATGGACTTATCAGACTTAAAGTCCACTCAAGGGGACGTTAAATATAAAGTTTACTTTCTATTTCAAGCTGTGGGTACACAGGTTTAGTTTATTTTTCCGATCGCGATAGTGTGGCTGAGATAGAGGTGCTAATTTTTCATTAATGAATTTTTTTTGGCCCCCCTCCGGGATTTGTGAAGGGGCCGCCATGCGGGACGCCGGCCGGTCGACACGTGGAGCCCCTGCGCGTCGCCCGGGCCGGGGAAAAAGGGAAAGAAATTTCGATTTTCCGCCGGCCGGTCGTCGCCCTCGGCGAATCGACCCTTTCTCCATTGAGAAAAGGGGCGCGACCCCTATTGATCCGGGTGAAAGCGCAAGTCTCTCCTCGTCCCGGGGTGGGGCCTCTAAGAAAGGGCTTGGGAATCCGGGCCCAGCCGGGAAATTCGTCTCGTATCCTTCGCCCCGGCAACACTGTCTCCCGCCTCGGAGTGGGGGGGCCCCTTCTCCTTCCCCCCTTTCACCCGTCAGTATCCGCTTCGACCCGAGTCTCAGAACGCGAATTTTCTCTCCGCCCCCCGTCTTTTTTCGATTTCTCCCCGGCTCCCTCTCCCCGGAAAATTTACCAAAAGTTACACCAAAAAAAGTAGAAAAAAACGATTTTCGGCCGTTTCGCTCGCAAAACGCGTTTTGATCTTTTTATCTCTGGACAACCCATTTTTTACGGTTTCACGGTTTTTCCTCCTCCTTCCCCCCCAACCAAAACCGACATCGGAAATCGAGAAAAGGCAGGGACACCGGTGTGTGACATGCACGTGCTATCCCGTTGAATGGACTATGTACCTCAGCTACATGATGCCTCCTCCTCCGTGGCGGTTCAACGGACATAGATACACGAAGAAAAATATCTACAGGTTCGCCTCCGGGTCGGAAGCCCGCCTCCCGTGAGGATGGCACGGCCCCTCCCTTTTTTTCTCTTATCCCCCTCGTGACCTTGTGGCGTCTTTGTCACCTCCGGCCGACGCCTTCAACACGTGGTCTCACTTTTTACAAAAACCCATTACGCTTATAACTATAATTTATTTATTTTTATTTTTTTAAATTTCACTTCAAAAACCGAACATCCCCTACTTATAAAAAAGACTATTAAATTTCATTTTGTACCAAAAAGAAAAAAACCGTTTATAAACTTCCCCAACAAAACCTTCTCAGTTTATAACAATTTTATTAACTATCTTTACAAACAAAATAATTAGAGTTCATTCCCAATTCAGGCATATTTTTATAGTGTTTACAATTAATTTAAAACTATACGGTTTTCCATAGAAATAACAAAGAAAATCATTTTTTTAAGTTTACCAGTCAGGTCGAGAAATGAAACCTCATCAGCTGTTACACCTCGTTAAAATTTTCAAATTAAAATCTCGCCTTAATTATTTAAAAAATTCGAAGAGGAATAGTAAATTCGACATCCATGACTCGACTTTTACAAGTTTTTTCGACCTGGTTTTTTTTTTCTTTATGGGTTTACAGATCCCTGCTACGAGTATGTGTTGCCGGAAAAGGAAACCTCACCGGCTGTTACTCTCATTAAATTTTCCAAATTCAAATCTCCCCTTAATTATTAAAAAAACGAAATTTTTCAAAGAGGAATAATAAATTCGATGACCTTGACGTTTAAATTTGAAAAATTCTACTTTTACCATTTTTTCCCGACATGTTTTTTTAATGGGGTTTACAAATCCCAGCCTCGAAGCAGGTGTCGTGCTGGAAAATGAAACCTCAACAGCTGTTACCCTCGTTACATTTTCCAAATTGTAACCTTGCCTTAATTATTTAAAAAAAAGTTAAAAACGTTAAAAGTTTAAACTATAATTACATTTCATTAGGTATCCAAAAATAATAAAAAAAACCTTTTGTAAACTTCCATAACAAAACATTCTCAGTTTGTGACAATTCTATTATTATAAAATGATTAAAATTCATTCACAATTCAGGCGTATTCTTAAATAGGTTTTTTTATAATTAATCGAAAAACAGTAGTTTTCCTTAAAAATATAATTGAAAAAAAAACAAATACGAAAAGGCAATTTTTAAAATTCATCAGTAGGTCGAGAAATGAAACTTCACCAAGTGTTACCCTGTTAAATTTTCCAAATTGAAATCTAGATAAATTTTCGAAAAGGAATAATAAATTCGACGACCTTGACGTTTCAATTTAAAAAAAAACTGCTTTTACAATTTTTTCCCGACCTGTTTTTTTTTTCTTTATGGAGTTTACAGATCCCAGCCACGAGCAGGTTTCATGCCGGAAAATGAAACCTCACCGGCTGTTACCTTCTTTATATTTTCTAAATTGAAATCTCGCCTTAATTATTTAAAAAAAGAAGATAAATTTTGGAGTAATAAATTCGATGACCTTGACGTTTAAATTTCAAAAACTAGACTTTTACTATTTTTCCTCGATCTGGTTTTTCCTTTCTTTATGGGGTTTACAGATCCCGGCCACCGGCTGGTGTCATGCCGGAAAATGAAACCTCCCCTACTGCTATAATTTTAAATTTAAATTTTAGCCTAATCATCGGATTGTTGAATTATTTATAATTTAATATTATTTAACGCAAAGGATATGGATTTACGTTGTTATTGATGAAGTTTTTTGACAAAGGAAATATTCTGACCTGATGATAAAAATTGGAAACTCTTAAGGGATTTTCCTGTTTAAAAATTTCCATTTCCAATACGTTTTAAACGATAATAAATTAATCATGAATCGGGCTTGTTAAATAAAGTTTTTGCTTTGTGTTTTGAAGGTTTCTGGCTTGGTCTCTTGAGAAAATTTTTTTTTTCCTTCCGGGTACCGGGTTACAATGCGAGCTTACCTTATTTGTGACTGACCCTGCGACTGCTATTTTATCCATAAATCTGACATGTTTAATTTGTATTTTTATGGAAAATTAAGGCCTGTCTTTTTTTTTCCCAAGATTTTACTGGTCGACCATATATCGGATGGAATAAAGTCAGTATCTCCTCGCAGCAGAACCCGCCTCCAATGCCTTACATTGGGTGCCAAAATCCTAGGCCCAAAATTTGCCTGCTTTGCTATGCGGAGACGGGATGGGTTATATTGTATATTAAATTGAAAATTGGCTCCACGCTGTACGAACCGTAAAGAAAAAAAAAATTAAATTAAAATTAAGCAAAGAGTTATGGTGAACTTAACACAGGAAGAAAGGCCTAATGTGCCTCCCTAAAAACTAATCAGGGTAGACATGTCAACCTCTCACATTAAATAATTTCGTCAGGCCAATTAATCATAATTAACAAATTCTAAGTAAATAGAACACAATATTCACATTTAAAAAAATGCATTTATTCTTAAGGAAACTAAAATACATAGCAACCTTAATTTTCTACAAGTAAGACTATAACAAATTTAAAACCTTACAGAACTAGAGTCGATAAATACTTTTTGATTCCGAAGATGTTGAAAATTCCCGTTTTCAAGAAATGTCTTAGAACACCTCTGAAGTTGGGTGGGTCCACCGTCGCCTTGTCGATGAATGAATTGATTATTTTCTAAAGTTAAGGCCAGGGCGTAGAGATATCCGTCTTGACACCGTCACACTCTTCTCTTACATACGTCTCATACATCTTGTACAGTGGCAAGATATTAAAAGAAATAAAGCAAAAAAAAAAAGTTGCTCTTGACGTAATTTCCTACAAGGATTGTTGGGTCACCAATAGAACTTATGGCCTCGTAGAATTTATTTTGATCAAATCTTTTAATATTGTATTTCCTAGCATGTAGGCTGATGAACGTGTAATTTGATCACGATTATTATTAGTGTGCCCATTCTCGCTTGAACAACACTTAAAACACGCCTTACAGACCATTCCCCCCATGCAGTTTTTTTTTCTTTGATGAACATTCCATGGAACCGGCTGCAAAGTGAAATTTCACAGTTATGTACACACTACGTCTAGTTCGGTTTTCTTTTCTCTATGAAGTTTTGAAAAATAGTCTTTACAAATAAATATTTAAGTTGATTTATATTTAGATGGGATCCCAGGTAGCTGAATAAGCATGTCAGACTCTCGGCTCAGATCCTGCAGTCGTAGGTTCGATTCCCGTTTCGCTCCCCCCCCCCCCAAAAAAAAAAAATCAATCCTCTGAACAATAAAAGTAAAGTAATTCCTGTTCAGAGTCAAGGAAGGTTTAAACTAATTTTCATTTTTCATACTATAATTTAAAAGGCACAGAGCTGGGATTTGAACGAGGTCCCCTTCCTCCTCCAGATAATATTCAAAACAAAATCTTTATTAAACTAGTTACTACCATGTATCACCGACAGTCATACGCATACTTTGTACCCGTAAAGCTGTAGAAATTAATTATAGGGTGATGTACTTTCAAGTAGTTGTAAAGTTAAAAGAGGCCCTGGAGGAAGGTTGAGTTGGTTTTAAAAACAGTTGTGTTACTGTACAGCACCGCACAATCTGTAAATACTTAGATCCCCCCCCCCATTTTTAGTGGTGGTTAAGTATCAATATGTAAAGCTCTAGGTGTCAGGAAGTTGAGAATTAGCTAAAATTCTATTATTTATTAATCTGGCCATGTTCGATTATCAAAGTCGGGGCAGACGGCGTGCGCCGAATGACATGTGTTGAACGGCTTGCGACCCTCTCCTCCCTACAAATTAAAAAAAAAAAAAAAATACAAATAACCTAAACAAGTAAGTTAATCGTCTTATCTTTTTTTCCAGTGGTGGAGGCGTCACGAAGTTGATTATCTCAAATTTGCCATCTCACTTGTCCAATGCGGAATTAGATGCGATTATTAACCGATTCCCAAACCAGGGCTGGGAGAGGGACGCCCGTTCGCAATCTATAGTCGTTACCTTCGAGAATCATGAACAAGCCGAACGGTGAGTATTTGTATTTTAAAAAAAAGTGCTGAAAAATGGAATATAACGACATGATCAACATGTTTTTATTTTTTTATCGTGAATTGGCTTGTTTTTTTTGGATCTTTGTAAAAAAAAAATTGTCAGATTTACCCCTTTTAAGCTTCCCCACAATAGGAAATGTTATTAATTGTTTTTTTGTCCAATTGCAGGGCTTATAACGATCTCATCCAGACAGAATACGAAGGCAATTACCCGAAGATGGAGCTGCGCGGGCCAGGCGGAGCCGGCGGAGAAGACAAGAGGCGAGGGAGGCCGAGGACGGTCGGCTACCCGCTGGGCGGGAGCACGCCGGGCGCCAGGCAGACCGACTTCCCCCTCCGCATACTCGTCCAGTCAGACATGGTCGGTGCCATAATTGGCCGGCTTGGTTCGACCATAAGGCAGATAACTCAGCAGACTCGTGCCAGGTAGGTCTGCACTTACTTAAGACGCAACGGTAAGAATTATTATAAATTTTTTTTATCAGGGTTGACGTTCATCGCAAAGAAAACGTCGGGTCGCTCGAAAAGGCTATCACTATATTCGGCAATCCGGAGAACTGCACTAACGCTTGCAAACGCATATTGGAAGTGATGAAGCAAGAAGCGACATCAAACAACAAAGGGTAAATTTAAAAAAAAAATTAATTTAACAAAATATATAAAAGAATTGACATTAACAATTTTTTTTTTCACCAGAGAGATAACATTAAAGGTGCTAGCTCATAACAATTTAATCGGACGTATAATTGGAAAATGTGGCAACACAATCAGAAGAATTATGCAAGAAACCGACACAAAAATCACTGTTTCAAGGTTAAAACAAAAAAAAATTAATTAACTAAAAAAAATGAATGAAAAATAATATTTTTTAAAAATTGTTTAGCATCAATGACATAAATAGTTATAACCTGGAAAGAATCATCACGGTCAAGGGATCGATAGACAACATGTCTAAGGCGGAGTCTATGATCAGCGCCAAGCTGAGACAGAGCTACGAGAACGACCTCCAAGCGATTGCGGTAAGTGACGACGGCGATGATGAAACGGCGCTGCCGACGCCCGCTCGGCATCCATGCCCTCCTACTCCTACCGATCCTTTCCTCTTCCAGGGCGACTGCTCCGACCTCGTAGTCTCCGACCAAGAGCAGGAGTGTTTCGTATGAGGCGAGTGCAAAAAAAAAGGCCGCGCCTAGGAGAACCGAAGCGAGACTTAGAATCAGTAGCTCCTCTCCTCCCTCTCGCCCTTAACCTCATCAAGACAAACACACAACAAATATATATATTTATATATAAAAAACGAAAAAAAAAAGTCCACAGTATTGAAAAAAACATGAGGAAAATCTTGAGAGATAATTAAACAGAAAAAAAGAAAAAAAAAAGAAAAAAGATAAACCATTTCCAGAGGAAAGGGCTTTTTAATTTTCAACGCTCTTTTACTAGCCAAAGCTTGATTAAAAGTCTGGAAAAGTGATTGTTTTATTTTAATTTTATTTATTTAGTTAAGTATTAGCAGTGATAGCGAAGTACTTAAAATTATGACAATCCTGATGTCTATACAATCTCTATTAACTGGAAAGAATTTGTCATGATCAGTAGTGGCTAAGATATTTAGATGTGAACATGTGGCCGGAAAAGTTTGTATTTTTGATGATAAATTAAGACTAGAATGGTGACTGTTGTCGCTGAGTGGTTAAGGCTTCAATTTCTTGGCTAGCGGTTATTGCTGTCATGGGTTCGATTCCAACCTTTTTGGGATTTTTTTCTCTGATGGTAAGGGTGACCGTTGCGAAAATTGACATGGCATTCGTTGACAGTAGGTCCGGGGTGCAATCGGATCTCAGCAACCATGAATTCGGTCTCCCCTTCAGTAGAAGAATACCGGGGGCTCAATTCACATGCTGTAGTGAGCTTGCTTCAAAAAATGGAAAAATTGAATGAAACAAAAAATCTCCTTAAAGGCATTATTTATTATTTTAGCATAATATTTGACATATTTTCTACTTTTGTAAAGAATTCAGTAATTTTCTTCTGAGATTTATTTTTACATTCTGTACAAAAGTGTCTCTCAAAACGCTTCTCTAACAGCCTCAGAGGTCTCATTGCTGCATACACTTCAGCATTCGATGAGATTTTGCCGAAATCGCCTTTGTCATCTTCTGTTCCTTGTGTGGGTGCTGAGTGTTGCTCTTCAGTGGACCTGGATGTTCTGGATTATAGCTTCATCAGACAACTCACATGTCACGACATACATGTTCACCTCAAGGAATTGGTCGATGGGTAATTAGCTCTGATGTCGGCAATTATATATTGTCAATCTCTGAAGAAAATGGCTGATCAGTATGAAGGTGACTAACAATGACCCAGAATTTGCTGCGTCTATTGTACGCTGTATCAGATATTTCTGTCCCCCTGGACTGAGAAAAGTGTATGCTCTAAATATTGTGTATATTGTAAATGGTGTTAATGTAATTTTTCCTATACCATTTCATGTCGCCGAAGATATTGTATGCTTTAACTGGTTGTACGTTCTATCCGGTGTCGTAAATGATGTCCACTGTATTTGGGGTTAACCTACTGCTTCCTTTGAGACCTATTGTATCCCTTATTCTATACCTATAGCACACCGGTGAGACCTAGTTTATTAAGAAATTGGAAAGGTAAAGCACATGAACACACCTGATGTGACCCGAAGCCACCCGACGCAAATCCAATGATCAATTTTCCATAAGGTTTTATTACCTACCCCTGTGCACATCTACCTGATGCCACACAACGCTACCCTACTCTATGCTATGCGATACAATCAAGTTCCCTATTGTCCAGATTTGTGTCGAGTACAGTCAAAGGCAAAAGAACTGGACACTAATATTTTTTATTTCAAAATATACGTATTATATTTATATTAATTACAACAAATAAAAACCATATTAAGCGAGATCAAAAATTCATGGGTTTTTATTTAAAAAATTTAAGTTTAATGGTTTGGCAGAAAATTTATCATAACTTCACTAATTTCGTGGTCCGCTTGACCAATTAATGTCTTCGGCTTGATACGCCGCTGCTCTACCACTTGAGCTATCATGCCTCGATCCACTCGGACACCAACTTCCCATCTCAACCGTACCTTTGAAAAATGGCAAAAAGGAGGGAAAATTCAAAAGATGTGGTTGAGATGGGAAGTTGGTGTCCGAGTGGATCGAGGTCACGATAGCTCAAGTGGTAGAGCAGCGGCGTATCAAGCCGAAGATCGTGGGTTCGAATCCCGCTCGTGCCATTGACTTTTTTATCTCAACTAAAAACCTTAATTAATTGTAATTTATCATAACACTGGAATACCATATTATTAAACGGTTTTTGCTCATAAAATTTAACTGACAATTTATTACACGGTTTTGCTTATAATATTTAACTAACAATTTATTATGTGGTTTTGTTCATAAATTTTAACTAAAAATTGATTTCATGGATTTCCTCATAAAATTTAACTAACAATTTATTACGTTTTTTTTTCTCATAAAATGTAACAGACAATTTATTTTACAATGTTGCTCATCAAATTTAACTAACAGTTTGTTTTCATGGTTTTGTTCATAAAATTTAACTACCAATTTATTACATGTTTTTTTTTCTCATAAAATGTAATCGACAATTTATTACACAATTTTGCTCATAAAATTTAACTAACAGTTTATTTTCATGGTTTTGTTCATAAAATTTAACCAACAATTTATTACATGGTTTTGCTAATAAAATTGCACCATTTTCGTCAGAACTGGACACTCACATTTTTTGCAGTTTAATTTAAATTATATTAAATTAAATTTAAATATGATTTTGTCATTATATTAATTACAACATGCTTATTTTAATGTAACCAAATTAAACTAAGATTAAAAAACATGAACTTTTATAAAAATTATTTGATTATGATGGTTAGGCAGAAAATTTATCACTGACACGTGATATAGAAATAGTGAATCATGTAGTAATCGAAAGGAAATTTCTGGTTTGTTTGCGGCATTATACAGCAGATGGCTTACAGATCCTGTTGTCATTTCCGCAAGAACGAAAAGAATTTCTGACGTCAAACTTTTATAATGCTGTCGTAAGGGATGTAGCACGCATAAAAATTTAAAAACAGATTCTGGATCGTTTAGTGACAACATAAGTAACGATTAATCCTTGTTAAAAGTGCTTTGTGTAATTTTGATGCACGGATATATTTTTCTTCAATTTTACCTACCTGGCTTTGTTCAGAATCAGTCGTATTAAATTTAGGGTAAAAGTTGGCTCCTGAATTAGTGTTATTTCCCGTTAGGGCCATTGCGTAACTTTTTCTAGGTGCCGGGATTGGTACTTTTCTGATGGACTTTTCCGATTTAACTGATAATTGGTCTTAGTTTTCATTTACGATTTTTGGTTCCTTTTCGATTATTATCGGGTCGTTTACGCATTCTTCAAAATTTTTATATATTTTTGTGGTCAATTTATCAATTAGTGCTAAACGTTTCTTTTTTGCAAGTCGAGAGATATTCGGGGTGTTAATTTTATTCATGAATTCTTGCGACTGGAAAGAATTCAATTTTGTACGATCGGATAGCTCCATAGTTTGAGTGGCCTGATACTCGCAGGACAATCTCGTGTGAGATGATTGTGGGGTTCTCTGACTGTCTAGCATATTTGACGAATTAAAATGTTATTTGAGAAAGTAATTTTGTAACTACGGAAGAAAGTGTAATAAAAAGAATAATCATGGATAAAGTACAATAAAAAAAGAATAACCACGCTCTGCTACCAATAACACAGGAATACCTTTATTTAAAAAATTAAATTTAACTAACAATTTATGGCATATCCCCTAATAATGCATTAACAGCAAGTTTATGGCCCTTCCTTTTCTTCATTTTTTAAATCTCCGGGTTGTCCTAACTGTCCCTTTGAAGGCACGATCTCTTCTTCCAGTCTCTCTCCTCCCTCATTTCTCCTTTCCATTCTTTCCTTAAAACTCCTAACAGTGGGCGGGTATTTTCAGAATTGTCAACTCTGTTAGAAATCCTTCAATCATATTTTTTTTAAATTAAAATATTTTTTATTAAAATTTATTAATTTTTGATCTCGTTTAATTTGGTTTACATTATAATATGAATGTTGTAATTAATATAATGACAAAATTACATATACTTAGTTTGAAATAAACTACAAAAAATATGAGTGTCCTGTTCTGAAGCTACTCGACGAAAATGGTGTAATTATGAGCAAAACCATGAAATAAATTGTTAATTAAATTTTATGAGTAAAACTGTGTAATAAATTGTTAGTTAAATTTTTTATATCAAAAAATGGTAGTCCGGTGTTTTGACCAATTTACTACCAAACCATTAAAATTAATTTTTTTAAATAAAAATAATGAATTTTTGATCTTGGTTAATTTGGTTTATATTAAAATAAGTATGTTGTAGTTAATATAACGGCAATAATACATGTAGTTTGAATAAAAATTTGACCGTCCGGTTCTTTTGTCTTCGACTGTACCCGATGCGACCTGACGAAAATCTGGACAGTGGGGATCGCAGAGCGTAGAGTAGGGTAGCGTAGCATAGCAACGGGCAGATGTGAATGGCAGTAATACAATCTTATGGAAAAATGGACTTTGGGTTTGCATCGGGTAAGCATGTCCCAGCTTAACCGATCAGCAATGACCAGTCAGAATTTGAAAGAAAAAAGCAAACATTATAATCAAAATTCACTGGTATTGAATTAGCATAAAGTTAAACTAGGCTAGTCCGCAAATGATATTATAAATCAAGTTCCCTTAGTAGTATTGATCCGGAAATAAGTGTGATCGTTGAAGACAGTAAGTATTTTTCACCGCGTTGAGTCGAAATGTTTTATTTATTTATTTTTTAAAGAGATGAAAAGTTTATATAAATATTCTTTTAATCTTCAGCCACAGACAATGATGTTTCCTGGGCTCCATCCAATGGCGATGATGTCAACTTCAAATATGGGCTATGGTGGACGTGGAGGTGGTTACCAGGGCGGCCTCTACTCTAGCAACTACCCTCCAGTTTACCAACACATTCCACCCATATCGCACGCTCCTGATGCCCAGGTAAAGGTAATGAGAGAGAATCAGCTCATTTCAACAAAGTCGGTTAATGGGAACAATTATGATGATTTTTTTTTTTTTTTTTTTTTTTTTTAAACAGGAAACAACTTATCTGTACATCCCGAACAACGCTGTCGGTGCCATGATTGGCACGAAAGGGTCAAACGTACGCAATATGATCCGCTTTTCTGGCGCTTCGGTCAAGATTGCAGCGCTCGAGAGCGAGAAGCTCGAAAGGGGCGACAACCAGCAGTCTGATAGGCGTGTCACGATCGTCGGCTCGCCCGAGGCACAATGGAAAGCCCAGTACCTCATCTTCGAGAAGATGCGCGAGGAGGGTTTCGCCACCGGCTCCGATGACATACGTCTCACCGTCGAGATCATGGTCCCATCGTTGCAGGTCGGACGCATTATCGGCAAAGGGGGCCAGAATGTCAGGGAGCTACAGCGCATGACCGGCAGCATCATCAAACTGCCCGAACAGGGAGCCGGCGGACCCCAGGAGGACGAGACGACTGTCCATATCATCGGCACGTTCTTTTCTGTCCAAGTAAGTTTACTTTTTACATTACAACATAAAATCATAATTAAACATGAAAAAATTTCAGTCAGCGCAGAGGAGAATAAGAGCAATGGTGAGCTCAGGAACTGGTAGCGGTGAACCTCGCACCCGTGGCTCACAACAGGGTCAGCAAGGCCAGCAACAACAACCACAAACACAACAACAACAGCAGCAGCAGCAGCAACAACAGCAACAGCCTCAGCAACAATGATCGGACTACTAAACAAGTTAGATGAAAAAAAAAAGCCCTCCTCAGATTTATGACTTTTAATACTTGACTGACCGACAGACTATTATTTTAAAAAAGTATATATATAAATTATATATTGACANATTAATATTTTAAACAGAGGCCCCCCCCCAAAAAAAAAACGAAAAAAATTGGAAATATTCTGGTTTTTTTAAAAACAAATTTTTATAATATTTTTGATACGTCTCGAGGCAATTTGTTTTTGTTTTTATTTATATTTATTTTTATTTTTTAAGCTTTCTTTCATGATTAAAATGATGTTTAAATGATATATTTATACAAATGTAAATTTTTTTTTGATAATTTTTCTCCCTTTTTATATCAAAAAAAAAAAATTTGGCGACAAAGCTAAATACAAAAAAAATTTTTTTGCATTTTTGCTAATTATAGGGAGAAAAAATATTTTAAAAAAATTGAGAGAGAAAGATGGTTTTTTAAATTAAAAAAAAAATTAAAGTTGAATATATATATAAAGTATAAAGAAATTTTTTTAAAATAAATTAAGGAAAATTATTAATAAAAATTTAAAAAAAAATTATATATGGGGAATCATAGGTCGGCACATCCAAGCATTTTTGTAGCTGGGGTGTGCCTTTGTTAAAAAAAAAATTTAAAAATTAAAAAAAAAAAATAAGAGGAGAATTTGCACCGCCCCTTAAAAAGATAAATAAAATTGTACGCATCTTTGCATAAATTGTACCTGTTTTTTTGAAAAGTGTTTCATTGGTGGAAAAGACACAGGGAGAAAAAAAAATATGGGAATACGATGTATAACGATCTAAGGTATGCGTACAGTTTTGAAACTTCAATAATAACAAAAATTCAAATGGAATATATATTTTTTATTTTTGTTCTAATACTTAAGCCTCTTGGTAGAATTTAACAAAACAAAATTTACACAAAACTAGCCCGCTCTAAAAAAAATTCAATTGTAAAAAAAATCTTGAGAAAAGCGCTCGCAAATTTTTTTGACATTCTTTTTCAGACATCCAAAAATTAAAAACAAAAAAAACACATCGTAGATTTAAAGAAAAAATGTAAATGGCTGCTACATCTTTTGCTACCCTCTCCCCCTAAACTAGAAGGAAAAACTAAAAATGACAGAACTTTAGCTTAAAAAACAACAACCGACGTACGACTTGAAAAAAAATGAAAAATTCCGCCGATCGATGACACTGTAGGTAAAAAGACGCAGGAAAACCAAACCTCCGCCTCTACTACACGATACGATTTAAAAAAACAAACAATCAAACAGATAAACCTCCGAAAAATCAAAGACTCGTTCTCAGCGTGGATTGGTGGTTCCTCTGAGGCGCTCTTTTTTATACGCGCCAAAAATCAAAAGAGAATAACAAAACAAATAGAAAGGTAAACGCTATTTTATATACCGTGTCTTTTATTGTTTTTATTTATTTACATTGTTTTTATTTTCCTGTTTAAATTGAATTAAAAACAAACAACGCTTAAATAAACTTAAGTAAACCGGAGAAAAATCAATAGTTTTTTATACAGAGTTTATAAAAATCGTTGTACCATAAATGAAAAATAGTTTTTTACTACATTAATACAATAATATACAATAAGCTGCTGGACTGCAATATGTTTTTTTGTTTGTTTTAAAGAAATAATTTAAATATATTTGATAAATAGACGTTATGTGCGATACCTTATATTGCTGGAACGCATAGTTATATTTTAAAATACATATATCTGGACTTTTTCGCATGTTCAAGGCCTGATTCATTTTGACACGCATGCGCACTAAAATTACAATATTACAAAAAAAATCTATACGCTGTTTTGAAGTGTAAGCACTTTATTTTTATTTTTTTGCGTGGGTGTACGTATTCTGCCTGTTTTTTATAATTTGTTTTATATCGAACGGTTCAAGCCAGCGACTCCCCGTGTCCGTCCGGTCTTGCGACAAGCCCAGTAGATGGCCTTAAAGAAAGAAAAGAGCGAAAGGCTTACAATGCCTTGTTAACTACCTCATAAAACAAAAAAAAATGCAAAAAGGGAAATGAAAACGCAACGCCGTACCTCGTATTCCCCCCATTGCTAATTCAAATTCAACAAAAACAAGAAGGCACGCCGATTAACGTTTTTTTCTCCTTTTTGTACCGAATTTAGTAAGAAGACAAGGTAACGGGAGGTGAAAAAAAAAAGAAAAACCCCGCAAATTTTCTTTTTCCCCCCCACCTGCTTCGACCCTTCCCCAATCATTATAATCCACATATATTTATATAATAGGTATATAATAATAGTTTTGTTTTCTGTTTTTCTTTTTCTTAAATAATAATTAATTGATAAATGAAACGAAGGGCATTTGATGATTTTTTTCTTCTTTTAATTGTTTTATTATATACATTTTTACAATTTGATTCCTCTCTCTAGTTATATTAATGTGAAATTTTTTTTTCTTTTATCACATTTTATTCCCCAACCCCTTTTCTTTCCTCTTCTAATTAAGATTTTTTTAAAATTTACAATTATACTATATATATATTCATGTAATGTATATATCCATACATATGTTACGTATTTGCATGAATTTTGTAAATTTGTTTCTCCTCTCTCTGTCCCTCCTTCCCCTGAATAATTAATTTAAATTTTAAACGGTTCAAACAGTTCGGTTTGAAAAATACAAGAGAAAAAACCGCATCGTTTATTAATAAATTATGTTTTTAATTTCATTTTTTTTTTTTAATTATAACATTTTTTTAGAAAAAAATTATAATCTTGTTATTATTCTGAATAATTAAAATAAAATTACAAAAAAAAGTATATAAATAATAGAAAAATATTGTTAAAAAAATAAACAAAAAAAAATTTAAAAAATTAAAAAACCAGAAATTTTTTTTCCATTGCATGTGCACGCGAAACGTTGGGTGAAAATATACAACAGAAAAATTAACCACAAAAGGGGGAAAAAATTTCACAAAAAAAAGTTAATAAAAAATAGAGTAAAAAAATAGTTTATAAAACGTTTTTTTTTGTTTTCTTTTGTCTTCTGTATTTCTTAGTGTGAAAGTAATATTGTTCATTTTTTGTTTTTTGGTCGCATATTTAAAACAAAAATCTATACGTAATTATTCACTACATATTCTTATACTATATACAATATATATGTATATGTGCTTTAGGAAGTTATTTAACTGTATTATTGGGAGAGATAAAAAATTACAGGCTTTTTCCCATATACGCCTATATATATTTTTTTTCTTGGTGGTTACATTGACATGCATGGAATTACTTAAATAAAAAAATAAAAATTAAAAAAAAAATTCCTTCGCCTCAATTATTATTTCAAAAGTTATGCATATAATATAAAAGGCCCAGTGGTTTTTAATTCATTTTTTCCTCAGAATGTTTTTTTTTTTCTTACACTACCTCTGTTATCCCTTCTTCCCCAATTGATACGCATGTAGTACGTACGCTTATGGTTTATATAGTTCCATGTAATGCGTGTTGTGTGTATTATATATATACATAACATTGTATATGTGCATGACAGATTTTTCTCAGTCCTTCCCCCTCTTTTTTTCACTTGAAAAAAATTTCTTTCTCTTTAAGGGTTGTCAACAGTGATTTTTTTATCATGGGAGGGGCGGGGAAACAGAGTAATAACAATAGATAATAATATAATTAAAATATATACAATTAATTAAGGTTTTCAGTTAAAAGAGATAAAAAAGTCAATGGGGGGATTCGAACCCACGATCTTCAGCTTGATACGCCGCTACTCTACCACTTGAGCTTTTTTTATCTCAACTGAAAACCTTAATTAATTGTAAGATATTAATTGGTAAAGCGGATCACGAAAGTAATGAATTAAAATATATAGTTTTATTACTGACCATGAAGTTATAGTTGTTAGATGGTTTATAGTTTTTTTGTCTTCTTTTCTTAGTTCAGCTTTTACTCTTTTTTTTATTTTAATTTTATATATTTGTTAATTAATCGAATTAAATTAGTTGAATAATAGTTGTTGAATTATATGTGTAAGCAATCAAGTGGGTGCAGGGTTGACGGGGGTCGTTCGTGGGCGGCCGGATGTGCGAAGGCAGTTTAAAGAAGATGAAATTTTAATGTAACGACGTGCCTTAAATAATATCAAATTAAAGAACGATTTTTAATGAAGCCTGGTCCGGTCGTGACGGTGTCGAATCCGATTTTCGGCGACTCCGTAAAACGCATATTCGTCCCTCACAAACCTTCGCCTCACGGTCAAAACGGGTCTTTTTTACAATCCCCCCTTTGTACCACCCCGTACCACAAATTCCCCACCCCCACAGTCATCCCAAAATACATAGACTTTTTTTTTCTTTATTCTGAAATTCAAATAATAGTTGAAAAAAAAAATTTTTTTTTTTCATTGCGAGGGAATAAAAAAAAGCTATTAAAAAATATTAACAAAAAAAATACAAAAAAATATGTTCGTAATATTGTAATGATTTTAATTTTTAAAAATAATAAAATAAATTTAAAAAAATAAGAAGAAGAAAAGAAAGTGTTTAATGTAAGCTTTGTATACATAAAGGAATTTATTTCAGAATAAAATTTAACCATTTTGCAGGTGTTTTCTTCTTTTTAAAAAAATAATTAATTAAAATAGGTTATTAAATATTAAAAGAAAGCAAACAAGTAAAGTTAGTTATTTTAAAAGGAAGAATGAAGTTATAATTATTAATAATTATGAAATCAATAGTTTCATTTTTTTTCTGTTTGTTTTAAATATTAATAGTGAATAAGAGAAAAAATCCGGCTGGCAATGGGCATTTTTGAACGTATTGAATTTTTTCAGCTCTTTTCCCCTATTTGAACAACATTTTTTTAACAATAATTTTTTTCCGGTTTTGGTAGGTGTATTAAAAAAAGTACAATTTTGCTACTAGAGGTTCTTTTTTTCTGGTTTAAATTCTTATTTTTAACCCCCCTGTCGATTTACAAAACAAGGGAGTCTTGGCAAAATCATGTAAAAATTTCTAAAAGAAAAAAAAAAAAAAAAAAAAGGAATCACTGGTTAATAAATAATAATCTTTATTATATGAAAAAAGAAGAGAAAATTGTTTTTTATTTTGC